AGCGATGGAGTGCGGTGTAGTGCAGTGGAGTGTGATGGAGAGCGGTGGAGTGCAGTGGAGTGCGGTGTAGTGTGGTGGAGTGCGGTGGAGAGCGGTGGAGAGCGGTGGAGATAGCCGGCAAGGGAGCCGGTGCTAAAGGGAGCCAGAGCCGGTGGGTCGGCGCTGTGACTCGACAGCCCAGCGGCTGGCCGCTGAAGTGGGGGCCTGCTAAACTAGAGCCGGCTGGCTAGGCGGCTGGCTTGCCGGCCGGCTAGCGAGGGCCGACGGGGCCAACGGGGCGCACGGGGCCAACGGGGTGCTGACGGGACCGGTAGGGCGCCAATGGATCCGGCGGGGCGCTAACAGGCCGGCGGGGCGAGCAGGGCCAGAGGGGCGCACGGGACCGACGGGGCGTTAACGGGGCCGGTAGGGCGCGAACGGGCCGACAGGGTGCTAACGGACCGGTGGGGCGAGCGGGGCAAGAGGGGCGCACAGGGCCAACGGGGCGCGAACGGGGCCGTCAGGGCATTAACGGCCCGGCGGGGCGCTAACGGAACGGGGGGGCGAGCAGGGCCAGTGGGGTGCACGGGGCCAACGGGGCGCTAACGGGGCCGGTAGGGCCCTAATGGGCCGGCGGGGCGTTAACGGGCCGGCGGGGCGAGCAGGGCTAGAGGGGCACATGGGGCCGACGGGGCGCTAACAGGGCCAACGGGGCGCACGGGGTCAGAGGGCGCGAACGGGGCCGGCAGGGCGCTAACAGGCCGGCAGGGCGCTAACAGGCCGGCAGGGCGCTAACAGGCCAGAGGGGGCACACGGGGCCAACGGGGCGCTAACGGGGCCGGAAGGGCGCTAACGGGCCGGTGGGGCACACGGGGCCGACGGGGCGCTAAGGGGCGGCTAGGAGCGGCTGGCTAGGACTAGGACGAGAGCGGAAGCGCGGGTGGGCGGGGAGGACCTAAATTAGCGCGTGATACCATCTCAGAGTAGAAATGTTACTAGAATGAGGCATACAGATTGATTTTATTCATGTGATTGTACCCTCTAAGAGCATGCACCTATCTAGCCTATTATAACATATACAAATATGTTTGACACAGACTCCTTAGAGGTTCGATTGACATGTAATCTAAGATTTAGTGCACTTCTACCAATACACATGGGGATGCGCCACATTTACTTCAAAGCCGACAAGGATGGATCTTGGAATGCGAAACTATTCTGATTCAGTGAATTGTTACAGTAGGAGCATGGGTGGAGCAGCACTCTGAAAGCAGTTGGCTGCAAGTGCTGATGCGACCAAGCTCCTTCCACGTCACATGGAGAGAACCTATTAATATGGAGGGAACCATGCGTGAATGGCGCCAAGATGAGCGCTACTAGGACGCTGCACATGATGATGCCATTGAGCCGGCAATTTAATAGCCCATGCCTCCGCCTCTGCCACCATCCATGCCTCCGCCCATGCTCCCCCCAGGACTCATGGCTGCTCCTGACCCGGGAGCAGATGACCCAGGTCCGCCCATGCTGCCTTTAGGTTCGCCCATGCCGCCCCGAGGTCCGCCCATGCTGCCCTCAGGTCCGCCCATGCTGCCCTCAGGTCCGCCCATGTTTCCCCCAGATCTGGCCATGCTTCCCCCCGGCCCGCCCATGCTTCCCCCAGGTCCTCCCATTCCCCCGCCGCCCATCCCTCCGCCCATCCCAGGTACGCCCTGCCCGGGTGCTGCCTGTGACCATGGAGCAATCAACCCTGAGCCATCCACACCCCCTCCACCCATTCCTCCCCTGCCCATTCCGCCGCCACCCATTCCGCCGCCGCCCATTCCGCCGCCGCCCATTCCACCGCCGCCCATTCCGCCGCCGCCCATTCCGTCGCCGCCCATTCCGCCGCCGCCCATTCCGTCGCCGCCCATACCTCCACCGCCCATTCCGCCACCGCTCCTTCGGCCAGCGACCATTCCGCCGCCGCCCATTCCACCACCGCCCATTCCGCCGCCGCCCATCCCAGGTCCGCCCTGTCCAGGTGCTGCCTGCGACCCTGGAGCAAACGACCCTGAGCCGTCCATCCCTCCGCCGCCCATTCCGCCACCACTTATCCCTCCACCACCCATTCCGCCGCCGCTCATTCCGCCACCACCCATCCCTCCGCCGCCCATTCCACCACCGCCCATTCCGCCGCTGCCCATTCTGCCTCCGCCCATCCCTCCACCGCCCATTCCATCACTGCCCATTCAGCCACCGCTCTTTCCGCCACCGCCCATTCCGCCACCGCCCATTCCGCCGCCGCCCATTCCGCTGCCGCCCATTCTGCCGCCACCCATTCCGGCGCTGCCCATTCCAGGTCCACCCTGTCCAGGTGCTGCTTGCGACCCTGGAGGAAACGACCGTGAGCCGTCCATATGGCGTTGCACATCATGGCAAGTCCATATGCCCCTGCACAAGTCCACATGCCGCTGCACATCATGGTAAGTCCATATGGCGTTGCACATCACGGTGAGTCCATATGCCGCTGCACAAGTCCACATGCCGCTGCACATCATGGTAAGTCCATATGGCGTTGCACATCACGGTAAGTCCATATGCCATTGCACATCAGTGTCCATTCCATAGATTCGAGAGGTATCTCGGGTGTCTAATTTCACCCCTTCCTGTGCTTGCGCAGGATGTCTAGATTCCTCATCTTTCAAACGAATACAATTGCGTCATCTACACATGTATGTTCATGCACGCCCTCGTGACAACGAGCTTCGAGACAGCAAGCATGTGACTATCCTTCAAGGGTGTCCCTGCCTTGCAGTACCGACGTCTCATCAGGGAGGATTTATGTCCACACTCAAGGTCGGAGCTGATTCCTTCCTTGGTGAATGACGGGAAGGAAATCCCGCCCCAGCCAACACCGGCATTGGCATCGTATGAGCTGATAGATCTGTCTGGCGATGACACTTTGCGCGAGGAGGTGTCACTGCACACGACCCAAATTGCAGCACTCAACCTTTCGGTCCACAACGTGAACGCCAAACTCGTGGCGCTTGCCAACATGTTTGGGCTTACAGATGAGGACCTTGTGGCTGCGGTCCGCGCTATGCAGTCGCCGAGCCCAATGGGGCAGCCCGACGCGCATGGGATGTATATGGCTCCGCAGCCCCCAATGCCGGACACGGTGCACACACCACAGCAGCAAGGCACTCCATCGCATGCCCCTCCACCGCCCATTCCGCATGCACCGGCCCCACAACGCTCATCACCCAGGCTGGCAAAACGCGCTGGTCACCAATGGATCCCGGCTGCGCCGTCACCCTCACAATTGCACACATCAGCGCAAGAGCTACCGCCTCCACCCGCGAAGCAGCCCCAAATCCAGCCAGATAGCTCCTTGCATCAAGCAGCTCCGCCCATACACGGCCATGGCGAGGAGCATGTCTCTGTGCCACCGAAAGGGGCCCCGGGCCAGCCGACGGCGCGGCTGCCAATCCAGAATAGTGGCGGTGCAGTAAAACAACACACATCACAAATGTATATGGCACCAAGTCCTCATATGCCATCTACAGACTTGGGCCCCTCAACCCAATCAGCATGAACCAAGGGCACAAATACACCCGGGGGTGCCATCTATGTGGCAATAGCGCCGGTTGCCGCACACGGGGGTGTTGCACCGGGACGATCTTCCAAGTCCGGCTGGACAGGCGTTGCATACGTGAAGGCACGCAACAAATACTATGTGCGAATGGTTTACAGGAAGGGGAGCAGGAGGACGCAAGTTCGCTTGGGCTCATATGATGACCTGGTCGAAGCGGCTCATGCGTACGCAGCGGGGGCGTACGTGCTTCGACCAAAATCTGTAATTCAATCCACAGCTAGGCTATTGGAGGAGGAGAAGGCACTACTAGCGAGGTGCACGCCAGAAGACCTGCGACACCTGAGCAAGAGGTCGAAGTGGTGCCGTTGGTGGGACTGGAGGATGGCTCTTAAAGCGAGAGGTAAAAATAGTGAAGGCGGGCCCAACTTGAAAAGGTCCAGACATCCGTTTTTGCGGCTAAGGGACAAAACTGCGACGGGGCAGAGGGTACACTGTCAAGAAATGCAAGCAGGGGAAACTGGGCGAGAAGATGTAGTTACCTGATTGGTTGGCGGGGAAAACATGACGTACGGTGGGGAAAATGGCTCGGGCAAAATCGCAAGCAGCGCGCCACCTGTCGCCCAGCCCCCACTGCCTGTAAGCTGCACCAAGTGGGCCCAACTTGAATTTCAAGTTGGACCCGGGTTCACTACTCCAGCAAAACTGAGGCTGGGCCCCGATTGGTCGAAATGCTAACCACGCAAATCTGTTGTCGCCAAGCAACCGCGAGTGCGACGCCGGAGTAGGACCACTCTCGCACGTGCGCATGTGGCTGAAATGGCCGCACATGACACGGAGGACGCCACGGATGGACAGCACGACGGCAGACCCTCTCGTGTGCTTCTCTCGGGAATAGAAGATGCACACGACTTCTTGGGTCCCACCGACCCGGAGGAGGATATTGGCGCAGGAAATTCTTCGGACGATGGATATGATGAGGTGTCTGAGGCAGGCGACGTGCTTCCCTAATTGTCTTCCGACAGATTGAGACCTGTGTGCGCAGGAGGGGATTGTGGTGCATGCATGGGTGATGGATGGGGGCATTGGCATGGCAAACACTTGTTGCCTTATCTCTGCATGACATTTCCATTGGTAACGCATCATGCATGTTACATGGGGCAGACAAGCATGGGACGAAGGACACTGTGGCCCTTATGCCGCAGCCACGGATTTGGCACTCCGTTGGACTTCTTGCTTCTTATGTGCATTCTTAGGTTGGAAAGCAACAGCCATTGCGTGGCGACAACGGGCGTGCACATACGTCGATTCACTGTCACTTGTAGCAGGGCTTGGTGGAAGGGTTCATCGCAGCTTGTGGGATTTAAGTGTGCACGGTATGTCACTTCTCTGTCACTTGTAGCAGGGCTTGGTGTAAGGGTTCATTGCAGCTTGTGGGATTTAAGTGTGCACATATGTCACTTCTCTGTCACTTGTAGCAGGGCTTGCAGAATGATTTATGGCAGCTTGTGACATTCAAGTGTGCACATGTGATGATAGTACTCATGAACATGCCAAACATGTGCCCATCCAAAACCCGGCACGCAAAACGAATATCCGTGGATGTAGAATTACAATATCTATGACGTTGCTCCCTGCAGGTCCGCAGCAACAGATGCCTCCATGGCTCCTTGTGCTGAGAGCGCCTTCTTCACTGTCTCCTCCACCCGCTTCCTGAGCCCGCTGTACGGCAGCTTGTCCACCACCTGAGGGAAGACGGGAGGCAAGAATCGCGGGACCAAGGGTTTGGATGCAGAATCACAGATTTGATCACTGTCTCCTCCACCCGCTTCCTGAGCCCGCTGTACGGCAGCTTGTCCACCACCTGAGGGGAGGGAACCAACGAACGAGCAGGGGGGAACATGGCACGAGAAGGGGGGGAAGGGAGCAGGTTTCTCTACCGTCTCCTCCACCAGCTTCCTGAGCCCGCAGTAGGGCAGCTTGTCCACCGAGAAGGGACCACAGAAAACGCATAAGGGGAACAAGAGTTCTACTTTCTGTCTGTTCCACCCTCTTCCTTAGCCTGCTGTGTGGCAGGAGAGGAGAAATTAACCAGGACAGATGAAAATAAACAGGACGGAACAGGGGGACAAGAAATGCAACAAGAGGGACAAAATGCAACAAGAGGGACAAAATGCAACAAGAGGGACAAAATGCAACAAGAGGGACCAAATGCAATAAGAGGGACCAAATGCAACAAGAGGGACGAAATGCATCTCTGATTATTGTCTTCTCCACCCGCTTCCTGAGCCCGCTGTAGGGCAGCTTGTCCACCGACTGAGAGCACAGGAGCAGGAGATAACAGGAGTGGCAAGTGGCAAAGGAATGGCAAAGGAATGGCAAAGGGGGATAAGGAACATCAACACTTTTCCTTAGCCCACTTTAGGGCAGCTGTAAACATCTTTCTTTTCCTGCCGCTGTACTTCCCACTCACCTCAGCGGCGAAGGAGAACACCAGGGCAGATCTAGCAGTGTTCTGGTCGATGCCTCTGGTGCGGAAGTAGAAGAGCTGCTCGTCGTCCAGGTCGCTGATGGCCGCGCCGTGCGTGCACTTGACGTCGTCCGCGATGATCTGCAGGTTGGGCTTCACGTTGATGGTGCCGCGGGGAACGAGAAGAAGGCTGCGGGACAGTTGACCTGCGTCGGTCTGCTGAGCGAGCCTGTGGGGGGGAAGCCGATGGGGGTTGGATTGGAAGGGAAGGGTAAGAGAACGATCTGCAGGTTGGGCTCCACGTTGATGGTGCCGGGGGGGACCAAGAGGAGACTGCAAGACAGCTGCCCTGCGTCTGTCTGTTGAGCCAGTCTAAGGGGTTCAGGGGATAGGACGAGAGAAGTGGAGGGGCTGGAATGGACACCAGCAGCAGCAGCACTTGGAGCCGTGCATGCACTTAGCACCCTGGATGCACTTGACGTCGTCCGAAATGATCTGCAGGTTGGGCTTCACTTTGATGGTGCCGCGGGGGACGAGAAGAAGGCCGCGGGACAGCTGTCCTGCGTCGGTCTGCTGGGCGAGTCTGTTACGGACAAGAAAAGGGTCGAAACGAAGGGAAAGATGAAGATCTGCAGGTTGGGCTTCACCTTGATGATGCCGCGGGGGACCAGCAGGAGGCTGCGGGAGAGCTGCCCTGCATCGGTCTGCTGGGCTAGCCTGCGGGGTTTGGGGAACACGAAGAGAGGAGGGGTTAAAAAGGGCACCGGCAGCACAAGCATTGCCAGCAGCAGCATTGCCGGTTTGGTGCCGTGCGTGCACTTGACGTTGTCTACGATGATCTGCAGGTTGGGCTTCACGTTGATGGTGCCGCGGGGCACCAGGAGGAGGCTGCGGGACAATTGACCTGCGTCGGTCTGCTGAGCGAGTCTGTGTGGGGGAAACCGATGGGGGTTGGATTGGAAGGGAAGGGAAGGGTAAAGAGAACGATCTGCAGGTTGGGCTTCATGTTGATCGTGCCGTGGGGGACCAGCGGCAGACTGCGAGAGAGCTGCCCTGCGACGGTCTGCTGGGCTAGCCTGTGGGGTTCAGGGAATAAGAGGAGACGGGGAGGGTTTGAAATGGACACCAGCAGCAGCAGCACTTGGGAGCCATGCATGCACGTAGCACCCTGGATTCACTTGACGCCGTCTGCAATGACCTGCAGGTTGGGCTTCACGTTGATGGTGCCGCGGGGGGCCAACAGCAGGCTACGGGACAGGTGCCCCACGGCAGTCTGCTGGGCAAATCTTTGGGGGAAACTGATGGGGGTTGGAAGGGACGGGTGAGAGAATGACCTGCAGATTGGGCTTCACGTTGATGGTGCCGCGGGGGACCAGGAGGAGGCTTCGAGAAAGAAGCCCTGCATCTGTTGCTGAGCTGAGGAGACTTTTCCCGTTCATCGCTGCTCCCTGGAGGAATGTCCGAGGGTATGCAGGTTGGACTCCACGTTCACGGTGCCGCGTGGGACCAGGAGGAGGCTACGAGAAAGAAGCCCTGCGTCTGTTGCAGAGCTTATTTTGTTTTCAGGCGCCTAAAAAATGGTGCTGAGGGCCCAGGAGGAGGCTATGTGAGAGAGGCCGTGCGTCTGTGTGCTGAAGTAGCCTGTGAGGCTCCACGTTCACAGTTCGGCGGGGCACTAGGAGACGTCTATTATGATTAGGCACCAAAAAAAAAAAAAAAACTTTTCCCGTTCACCACTGCTCCCTGGAAGAACGTCCGAGGGTCTGCAGGTTGCGCTCCACGTTCACGATTCCGCAGAGGACTAGGAGGAGCCTATGAGAGAGAAGAGCCCCGCGTTTTTTGCGTAGCCTATTTTTGAGACGCCTAAAATATGGTGCTGCGAAGGACTAGGAGGAGGCTATATGAGAGAGGCCGTGCGTCTGTGCGCTGAAGTAGCCTGTGAGTGAGTGCGTGTGGGAGAAGGACTGGAATGAGGGGAAGGGGGAGAGGGAGGAGAGCAGCAACGGCAAGCAAGCAGGAAGAGAGGACAGTGGCCTCCGTGGGTCAACTGAGGCCATCTGTGCGTGTGCTTTTTATGGGTCTGACCCACTCACTCGTTTCACTCAGTTTGACCCGATATTGACATGCTTTGACCCCATATTGACTTGCTTTGACCCACACTCACTTGTTGACTTTCACATTCCCGTCGAAGACGCACTGCCCCGTGGCATCAGATACAATGCACTTGTGCAGCTGCCGAGTGACGCCGCCTGGGAAATCCAGCACCAGGCTACTGTGCAGATCCTGCACCTGCCTGCCGCCCGCCAGCGCAAACGTGTCCACGTTTGTCTCCGTCTGCCGCCCCAGCTGCTGCATCTTCAGGTTGTGCCTGGATAGCGCCGCCCCCAGCTGAGCCTCCACCAGAGAGTACCTGCTGCTCTCCTCCTGGCGTGAGGGCAAGAGGGGGGAACAAGGGGGAAAGGGAGAAAGGGAGGCGCATTTCTGTTTCTGCCTGCACGGGAATGGCTGGGTTGTAGATAGCAGCGACCCCAGCTGAGTCCCCACCAAATAGTACCTGCTGCTCTCCTACTGGTGTGATGGCACGAGGTGGGGGTAATGGGCGCAGGTGAGGGGGAAAAATGGGCGGAAAGGGGAGGGGGGAAGATGGCGCAGAGGTGAACGGGGGCAGTGAGGATGGGGGGAATATTACGGTCGTTGATTGGAGAACTGCGAGAGGTGGGGGAAGTGGCGCGGGGAAGAGGGAGTGACACGATGGGGAGGGGGGCGAGTGGGCGGAGAGGAAAGGGTTGCGCGGGAGGGAGAGAGGTGGGGAGGGAGAGAGGGGGGAGGAGAGAGAGGGGGGAGGAGGGAGAGGGGTGGGGGGGAGGGAGAGAGGGGGGGGGGGAGGGAGAGGGGGAGGGGGGGAGGGAGAGAGGTGGGGGGGGGAGGGAGAGAGGTGGGGGGGGGAGGGAGAGAGGTGGGGGGGGGAGGGAGAGAGGTGGGGGGGGGAGGGAGAGAGGTGGGGGGGGGAGGGAGAGAGGTGGGGGGGGGAGGGAGAGAGGTGGGGGGGGGAGGGAGAGAGGTGGGGGGGGAGGGAGAGAGGTGGGGGGGGAGGGAGAGAGGTGGGGGGGGAGGGAGAGAGGTGGGGGGGGGAGGGAGAGGGGTGGGAAGAGGAGAAATCGATCATCACGACGACTGCAATCCACTGAACATTCAAACGCTCTACCCACCTGTGCGACGAACGTTCTCTTGATATTGAAGCAGTCTTTAGCGGGTTGGTTCTGGATCACCGCGTGGCTCACGCTCCCCTCTGCGCCAATCACAATCTCCGCCACCGCGTTCATCCACTCCCCCTTCCCCCCGCCCGCGGAACCTCCCCCCACAAACTCCTCCACTACCTCCACCTCCGCGCCCGCTTCCGCCACCACCAGCAGGCGCGGGGAAGCGAGCGCGGGGGATGCGGCGGAAGCGGCGTAGACAATGTGGATGGGGCGGTTGGGGAGCTTGACGTTAGAGGGGACGGCAATAACGAGGACGTCGGCGGCAGAGGCGCCGTTGAGGGCGGCGAAGAGATCGGCTTGTGCGGAAAATCTGAAAGGGGATGGAAGAGGGGAGGAAGTTCGAAGTTCGAGGCAACTGAGGGGATGGAAGGGCAAAGGTTGGTAGGGGACGTCCGCAAATTCTAGGCTCGTCGAATTCTAGGCTCGTGGAATTGTAGGCTCGTGGAATGAAGGGACTCGGGGATGTTCAGAGGAATGAAGTGGCGAATGGCACAAACGCGTTGGACCATCTCCACTCAAACGACGTTGTTCTTTTCGCACTTACAAGTGCTTTCTACCCTGCTTCGTTTGAAGGTCAAGTTTTCGCTTTCCGCCCCAGGCCCTCTCAAACGCTTCATGTTTTCCCTTCCGTTTGCCCCACCCCTTGGTGTTCTCCCTTCCGTTTGCCCCACCCCTTGGTGTTATCCCTTCCGTTTGCCCCACCCCTTGGTGTTTTCCCTTCCGTTTGCCCCACCCCTTGGTGTTTTCCCTTCCGTTTGCCCCACCCCTCGGTGTTATCCCTTCCGTTTGCCCCACCCCTTGGGGTTATCCCTTCCGTTTGCCCCACCCCTCGGTGTTATCCCTTCCGTTTGCCCCACCCCTCGGTGTTATCCCTTCCGTTTGCCCCACCCCTTGGTGTTTTCCCTTCCGTTTGCCCCACCCCTTGGTGTTTTCCCTTCCGTTTGCCCCACCCCTTGGTGTTATCCCTTCCGTTTGCCCCACCCCTTGGGGTTATCCCTTCCGTTTGCCCCACCCCTCGGTGTTATCCCTTCCGTTTGCCCCACCCCTTGGTGTTCTCCCTTCCGTTTGCCCCACCCCTTAGTGTTTTCCCTTCCGTTTGCCCCACCCCTCGGTGTTATCCCTTCCGTTTGCCCCACCCCTTGGGGTTATCCCTTCCGTTTGCCCCACCCCTCGGTGTTATCCCTTCCGTTTGCCCCACCCCTCGGTGTTATCCCTTCCGTTTGCCCCACCCCTCGGTGTTATCCCTTCCGTTTGCCCCACCCCTTGGTGTTCTCCCTTCCGTTTGCCCCACCCCTTAGTGTTTTCCCTTCCGTTTGCCCCACCCCTCGGTGTTATCCCTTCCGTTTGCCCCACCCCTTGGTGTTATCCCTTCCGTTTGCCCCACCCCTTGGTGTTTTCCCTTCCGTTTGCCCCACCCCTTGGTGTTTTCCCCGCTTTCCCCGCTTGTCCATCCTCTTTCTTCGCTCTCCATGCCGTTCCTCTCCTCTCTGCGAGAACCCACCTGCCAAGATTAGGCGTTTCGAGACGTCTCAAACCTAGATTACTATCACGCGCAAGCACCCTCTCCTTTCTGCGAACACCCTCTCCTTTCAGCGAGCACCTCTCCCTTCAGCGAGCACGCACCTGCCAAGATTCGGCACCACGAATCGCTCCACTTCCGCCTCGTTCAGCTGGCTCAACAGCTTCACCGTGATTCCCGCCGGGATTCCCGTCAAATCCGACAGCTCCGGTCGAATAGCGCCGTCGAATACGACAATTCGACTGTTTTTAGCCTCCTCCAGCGTGTATTCCGCTAGAGCGTCTGCTGAAACCACCTGCGACTCGAGCCCTGCCGCAGCGCCTTCTCCTAAAGCCTTATCGAGCAGCGCGCGGAGAGATTTTAAGTCCGTGAAGCGAAACTCCTCATCCTTGCGGCCCGGCCACCGCAGAACACGGGCAGCCTCGGAGGAAACATTTCTGAGCTGCCCGAGAGCTGCAGCCGCAGGGAATGCCGCGTCTGACGGGGCAGGGAGGGAAAACTTCGCGACGAGGCTCTGTACGAAAGTGTCGCTGGGCCCGACGGAAGTGACGATCGCAGCTGCGGCGTTGGCGTCAGCTTGGTCTCTAAGCGACGTAGGCGACGATTGCGACGACTGTGCGACTGCGACGAGAGTGCGCGACGACCGCGCGAATCTCCTGCGATAAGGCGCAGAAGCGACTGCCCTCTTGGAGGTCACCGGCTCATGACGGAGCAAGTCGGACTTGAGACTGGGAACCACTGTGCGAGACAGCTGCGCGCTAAGGCTTGACATCGTTCTAGCGGCAAAATTCGTGCTGCAGAGAACGTGCAAAGACTCAATCCAACGCTGACAGTCTAAGCCAATACAGTATTACGAAGAGCCGACGGGACGATCGATTTCCAATCTGCTAGAGGGGAGGGCAGACACCTCGTATCCAGAGAATGAACCGATACACAACGGATTATCCTGGAAGTGGGTCTCCGGGACTCTGGATTACAACGGATTATTGGCGGGGAAAGGCTTCTCTCTGGAGGCACAGAGCAGAACAATTCTCGAGCCGGGAAATCCCAAGGTTCAACTCCCTAGGCATGCACTTCGGGGGGTGGATGCCACGTGGCGGTCACAGATGCCGCTCCTGACCCGCACACTGCCAACACGGACCTAAATGTTCATGAACTTGCTGCAACTCATCGATGGAGATAATTGACGTAACACTTATCAATATTAGCCCAATACGTACAATTTGAATATAAGAACTGCAAACTAAGGGGCACATCTTCACCTGATACAAATCAGCTTAGGAGTCTTCAAAACCAACATGCGGCCTTCCACGAGGACATGATTTGGGGATTGATTCCCTTCAGAGGCCCTATAATAGTACACATGGATCAATCTATCAAGAGACAAGTAACATGGTCATCTTTGGTTGTGATGACACATGCTTGTGGCCAGCTAGGCCTTCGTCAAGCTGCAGAGTGGCCAAGACTGCAACTAAATCCTATAGCCTCTTGCTGTCAAGAATCGAGCGATGGGCGGTGTGAGCGCTAGGGTGATCGGCACACGGACAGGAATCAGAGCCTTGTTGCAGAGCCAAGCCACAGCCAAAGCACCACCACTTCCTATTAAACCCGCCGCTGCTGCTCCTCCACTCTCAGAGCCTCCTGCACTCCCAACGGCTACATTTGCTCGAGTAGTACCTGCACCAGCAGGCCCCTCCCTCACAGCACCTGACATTTCACCAGAGGACTCTGCTCTCGCGTGCTCCCTGGTCGCCGTGCTTGATCCTGGATCGGTCTTTCTGCCAGCTACGGAAGAGGAGGAATCCGGCAGACCAGCCGAGCTTAGGTCGTTCCCTGACAACGCGGTGTTGCGTTCTGACGAATCCGCGGAATGAGACGTCGGGGGAGGAGCAGCATCGGCTGGAGATGCGGAAGAAGGAGGGTGCGTGGGCGAGGGGAGGAGACCGACTCTGTTTAGCAAGCCTTCCACGTCGAAGCTGCTGCGGATGGCGAGGTACAGGCCGGCAAAAGAGACGGTTGACACGCCGATGTGGACGGCGACCGCCAGCCGTCCGTACTGCGCGATCGCGGTGCGAAGCCGCGATGAAGTGGAGGTGGCTGCTGGGGACGGCGGCATGGCAGGCAAGGGGATCGGGTCTGGCTGTTTGTTTTGATTTCGTGTAAATAAGGTCACAAGCGGCTGACTTGGAGCGTTAACGTACGAGAGCAGAGCTGATGGTTGCACAGGGATAATACTGGAGCGCGTGCTGCGAAAGCGACGAGGATCATGGGGGGAACTAAAAGGGATGCGATGCGAACGGAGTGAATGCCAGCAGAAAAGCGATCAATGGCGTTAACCACAGATTTGCAACGAGGATAAAGAATGGTTCAACGAGAATAAAGAATGGTTCAAAACGGACGACCTTTTTTTCCCGCGATGTATGGCATGCCCACGTTACCCAAAACGGTCAGCCCCCCCGACTGTATCCGTTTTCGTGTTGGGTTCAGATGCCACTACGTTTTTTCGGGGCAACTGGTTTGGGCAGCTGTGTAGGGTCCAATAAGGAGTAATACAGATCATATGCCCTGAGAGCCCGGGGGGCGATGCGAGAGATTTCGCTTTTAACGAATACGGGCCGTACGGTAGGGGCAACGTGGTCTATGGGGTTTTCCCAGAATATGGGGCGTCGTTTTTTGTGTACTGTGCATGGGCGGCTTGACTGGCGCATGCAGCGATTGAGTAAATATCGCAGTGTCGCAAGCCTCTCCACCTGTGTATCAACTTCGCGTTTCAAGCAGGTCTCTCGATAACCTAGGGGTCACCCTGCATAATCTGAGTTTGCACGGGGTCCAACTGTTCCAAGCTGGGTAGCTCTAAAACTTTTGACTGTTTTTGCAGGCATGAGTTTCGCCCTATTCGGAATGTGCCACTCCTGACAATGATGGGGGAGCCATTTTTCTAGGGGTGCGAACTTCTACATTAAAAATTTCAGGGTAAGTCCATCCCCTACTAAAAAATCGGGCGTCGAAATTTTACCATGTTTTCCTTGACAAAGCAGTGTGATTACCCTGACTTCCAGAGGACTGGTTTAAAAAAAATGTCACATTCCTTGACGCGCTCCTTGGCGCGTTCCTATTGGCTGTGGATAGACGGATTTTCCATGGGCAACGCTGACGGATTGCGTTGGCTTTGCAGTCGTAATTCTACTGGACCGTCAGCGAGCTGTTGGATTTCTTTTTCGATATTGGTTGGCGAGCCTGATACAAATGAATTTTTGCAGGCTCGCTAACCACTAGGCGTGGTCACTTTGAAAACACAGGAGAAAAATGATTGGACAGTCTTGGATCATTCAACTTGACTGTCTTATTTACTGTTCAATTGAGACGGGTACACTTTGCTTACAAGTAGAGGCCCTTAAGGATAAAATGTCTATGAGATACTCCTGTGCATAAAAGGAGGTCGTCTGCAAGGCATATGACCTGTACGACAAATAATGACGGCACATTAAGGGCTGCGGCATTCGAAAAAGGCACGCGCAATCATTTTGGGCACAACGTCCGGATTTCGACAAAATAGCAGGTCAGGTTTTCGCTGAACTCGGATTCCGGCGGGGAACTTTTCCAAAAACAGGGTTTGAACCCGGATTCTGACAGGTGAATTTTGGCAGAACTGGCTGTGAAACCCGAATTTGACGGGTGAATTTTGACAGAAGTGAGTCCTGAACACGGATTCTGACGGGTAGCTTTGGCCAGATACCCGGATCTGACGGGTGCGCGGCAACAATTAAATGCATGTTCACGCAACAATTGAATTGGGATCCGGCAAATGTTTTCACAGCGACCCAAAATTACATTTCCAATATTCGGCACATCAAAACGAAAACGGGTCCAGTCCGGGGGGGGGGGGGTCGACCGTTTTGGGTAATGGGGGCATGCCATGCATCGCGGGAAAAAAAGGTCGATCGTTTTGAGCCATTCTTTTTTTTGTCAAAGCGCGCGAGTTCCTCGATTTGCAACACACACGTACTCATGTTCGGAGGGTTGTGGATTGTTTAAAGAAAATGAGAGACAGAAGTTTCGTAAGTGCAGTGATGGATGTTTAGTTCTGCATGATAACGAGTCATTCTTATAGAGCTGACGCTGCGTCTCTGTCACGCACGTTTGGTGTGGGTGTCTGGTTTGGTTGGTTAGGTTAGGTTTGGAGTTGTCGAGCTCATGCTGGTCACCGCAAAACACACTTGAGAGAGATATCCCAAACCAATTTCATCCGTTGGATTGTCCACAGTCGCCGCCTCACTCCGTTTCCGCCGTACACTCAGACGCGCCTTGGCTGGTTGGTTATCACCACCTACCGGCCAACCACGTACACTTTTCTCCTTCTATCGACTCACCCAAAACAGTTGAAATTGCAATCCCACCTACCAGGTTCGCGTTGACACGGAACCTGATTGGCTGCAGTATGAACGATAGCGAACAGCCAAGTCGTATTTCGACAATTGCGAGTTTCAGAGCTGGGACGTCGCGCAGGCAACTAATCTAGTGCATGAGCGATATTTTGTAACCAAGTGTCAGAGTTTACCGTGGGTTCTCCCCGTTTGCCCGTGTTTTACCATCTCCTGCTTACAAGCTTAAGTCGCGTGAAAAAAGTAAAACTAAATAGAATAAATGGTGTATCAACACAACACACCATGCACGAAACCTGCCCGCCCATCCATCCGCATCCATCCGCCCTCAGTTCCATACAAATCCACCACACCAACTCCACGTCGACGGAACATCCGTCACGATTTCCGTCTTTGTCACGACCCAATCACATCTCCGTCAAGGCACCGATCAGCGAGCTGCAACAGAACACGCAACGCAAACAGAGCTCAAGGCAAGGCACTGTCCTGCCCTCCACAAACAAGCCAAGGCTCCTCTCCCCGACCGACCAGATCAGGCATTCAAGGGAGTCATGACTCATGACTCGTGCCTGTACTGCATTCTGTATGCGGCATTCCCAAGGTGCGTGCAGAGGAACACGCAGATTGCGTTGCAGGCAGTCCAGGCAGGCATAGGCAAGGCAAGGTGGGGGGGGAGTTAGACCAGGAAGGGAGGGAACGGAAAAAGCAGCGAAGGGAAGAGCATTCATGGCAACCCCCCTGGACCAGACAGACAGCAGTAGCCGCAGCACCCTCATCCCATCCCAGTCACCCACCCCACCCCCATCTCCCCCACCCCCACCCGTCCACGCTCGCTCACACCCCTTCGCGCCAGGCGCTTTCTTGCTCCCACTCCACTGTTCTGTGTGGCTTGCAAGCAGCAACTTGGCAAGGCTACGCTGTGCTGCTGCCGACCTCTTTTGCGTTTATGGTTGCCAGCTCCCTCGCCGCCTCCCTCACCGCCTCCCGCCCTCCCTCCCTCCCTCCCTCCGTACAACAGTCTCGATTGTAGTTCGAGTAAGTGTCAGTGCTTAGGCAAAACCGTACGTTTCTGGAGCGCAAACGTAGCGTTTCCAGACGATTAGGGTTCCTTTGGTTCCCACTTTCAGCGCAAACGTAGCGTTTCGCAGGGAGGAACGCCTTAGTGCGATTTTGTAGACATCTACCGATGCTCGGAAAAGTGACGTTTTCACCTCCTGGCTTCACGAAGCTGTAGATTTTAGCCACATTTTACTCGAATGTTTAGGTTTTGTCGCTCTCAACATTCGCGACCTGCATCCGCTGCTTAGGTTCGGTATTCGCGTTGCCGAAGCTGGCGCGCTTTGGTATGTAGATGCTCTGTAGGTGGTAGAAACCCTAGATCGAGTTTCGGCGCGTGAATCTTGACGAAGCTCGTCTAACGTCAAGCGAGGTTCGCCGAGACTCTGCGACGTCCTGCTCAATGTGGTAACTGAAACATTCGCCACTCCAGCCTCTCCATTCAAGGTTCGTCCCGCGGTGCGCCTCTCTCCACCCTCAAGGTTAAAGCTTCCGCACGTTGAGGATGTGTCGCTTTCTGTGATTAACTCGTGTCGTCGACGCATAATTTTTCTCGCACGCTCCGAATCCGCCGCTCTCGGGAGCGCTTCGGCGTCCTGTGCGTCCCGCGCCTTACCGCGACGCATTCGGCGCGACATTGGCTGGATTTCAAGGCGCGTAAAAATCGACATTGACAGGCTATTCCCTAGGAGAATCGACCCGCGTCTTAACGTGAGAGCCGGCCCCCGCCGTCGCGGTAAGCGTCAGTCATTCGGCCACCGTCCGTCCCGCGTCTCTTCGTGACGCATTCCGCGCAACATTGTCGACAGATGCTGGCGCAATCGGCGCGAATCGACGGACGAGATGCATCTGACGGCTAAGCAGAAGCGGCAGATTCTGATTCAGAGGGCCCAGGAGACGGGAACGGCTGGATCCAGCGACGCGGGGCAGGGAAACATGGCGACGGCGACCCCCAGTGCCCCTGCGGGAGCGGCGGGATCTGTCCTTGGGCCGAGAAGCGCGCCGATGCAGAGCCAGGCCGAGCTCAAGGAGCGACGGCAGCACCTGACGCGGCTTCAGATGCAGCAGCAGCAGCAGCAGCAGCAGCAGCAACAGAGCCAACAGCGACAGCAGCGGCAGCAGCAGCAGCAGCCGCAGCAGCAACAGGGCCAACAGCGGCAGCAGCAGCAGCAGCAGCCGCAGCAGCAGCAGCATCACGAGGGGACGTCGGGAACGGCGAAGAAGGAGACGGCGGGAGGGCAGAACGGGCGAGAAGGGGGAGAAGGCGGCGCTGGAAACCCGCGGGACAAAACGGAGACGGAAAACGAGGAGCGCGGAGACTCTGACGATCGAGAATTGACGGAGCATGGGGATAAGCAGCAGCAGCAGCAGCAGCAGCAGCAGCAGCAGGAGGAGGACGGGAATGAGGGAGCCGGCGACGCTCCGGGGGAAGCAGAAGGGAAGGAGGGTGGTCAGGGGGAGAATGCGCGAGATGGAGCGGGGGAAGGAGAGGGGGAAGGAGAGGGGGAAGGAGAGGGGGGTGCAGCGGGGAATGCGGAGGGAGAGGAAGGGCGCGCAGGTGGGGATGGGGAGGAGGAGGGAGCGGATGGAGAAGGGGAGCTCTCTGCGGGTAAGGGGCAAGGGGATGACGGCGACCTGCCTGGTGCGGGCTCGTCTGGGCAGCAGCAGGTGCAGCAGCAGCAGAATGCAGGGCCAACGCACAGACAGCAGGCGCAGCAACAGGCCCAGCATCAGCATCAGCAGCAGCAACAACAACAACAACAATCACAGCTGCAGCCAGTACAGCAGCAGCAGCAGCAGCAGCAGCAGCAGAGGCAGCTGAACCGGGAGCACGAGCAGGAGCTGCTGCAGCAGCAGATGCAGAAGCACCAGCTGCTGTTCCACCAGCTGCAGGAGCGGCGGCAGCAGCTGCAGCAGCAGCTGATTCAGCAGCAGCGGCAGCAGGGGTCGATGGACGTGATGCAGCGGCAGCAGCTGATTCAGACGCAGCAGCAGCAGCAGCTGATTCAGCAGCAGATGCTGATTCTCAGGCAGCGGCAGCTGCAGCTGCAGCAGCAGCTACAGCAGAACCACCAGCAGCAGCTGCAGCAGAACCAGCAGCAGCAGCAGCAGCAGCCGGGCCAACAGCAACAGAGCCAGCACTTGGATTCACAGGCGGTGTCAAATCAGGTGGCAAAGGAAGAGCCGAAGCAGAGCGAACAGCAGGGAAGAGAGGGCACCGCACAGAATAGGATGTCAGAGGCACACGAGCATCAGGCGCAGCAACAACAACGCCAGCAGCAGCAGCAGCAGCATCTACATCAGCAGCAACAACAGCAGCAACAGCAGCAACAGCAGCTGCAGGGTGGTGCGCAGCGGCCATCTGATGCTCTTTCCCAGCTGCTGTTGCGGCAGCAAATGCTATTGCAGCAGCAGCAGAAGGCTGCGGGACAAGGGGAGGATGGGGACAGTGCAGGGAGCCAGCAGTTGGCACGCAACCAGCAGCAGGTGCAGCAGCAGCAGCAGCAGCTCCTCCTCCTGCTTCAGCGGCAGCAGAGCCTGAACAACGCCAGGAACCAGCAGCAGCAGCAGCAGCAGCAGCAGCAGCAGCAGCACCAGGATCAGGGGCAAGGGCAAGTGCACGGGCAGGCACAGAGCTCAGCAGGGCAAGCACCACAGGACCCGCAGCAGCAGCAGCAGCAGCAGCAGCAGCAGCAGCAGCAGCAGCAGTTGCAGTTGCAGCAGCTGCAGAAGCAGAAGCTGGAGCAGCTGCTGAGGCAGCGCCAGGCTCAGCTACAGGCTCTAGCCCACGCCCAGGCGCAATCCCAGGCACAGGTGCCGGCACAGGCACAGCCACAGGTGCAGTCCCGGGCTCGCCCTGACCTCCCCGTCCTGGCCCTTGCAGAGGCTGCAGGGAGTGGCGCGCTTCCTAGTAGAGCATCCAACGACCAGGATGCAGCTGGCGCCGGTCCATCAACGGCCCACCTGGCTACTGAAGCCAGGGACGACCCAGGCGCTGTGGCTATGGCGGTGGCAACTGCTGCTGCTGTTCCTGATGGAATGGCTGGGGAAGGCCCTGCTGGGGGAGGTATACCTGGTGCGGATGCTGAGGCTATGGCAGCAGATGAATTAGCAGGGGAAGCCAGGCAAGCAGCAGGGGTAGGAGGGGGCGGAAGGGGAGCCGATGCAGGAGTAGCAGGAGCAGGGGGGGTAGGAGGAGGAGTAGGAGGAGGAGGAGGTGTGGGTCTGGATGGGGAGGGGGGAGGGGCGTGCAGTGGGGAGGAGGAGGCGTTGCCCATGCCGATGATGCTGGATGTGTCGCCAGAGGATGGCGTGTTGCCTGTGGTGGGCGGGTCGGCCAACGTGGATGGGTGTGTGAGGAAGCTCATGGAGTTCATGTACCACCAGAGGCGACGCCCAGCGGTGAGTGTGTGGGTGAGTGTGGGGGTGAGTGAGTGTGCGAGTGTGCGAGTGTGTGTGTGTGTGTGTGTGTGTGTGTGTGTGTGTGTGTGTGTGTGTGTGTGTGTGTTGCGCTCTCCTTGTGTTTAAGGCACCTCAAGACACTTGCGGTGGGGGGGTCGGGGGATGTGGATGGGTGTGCGAGGAGAGGAAGCTCATGGAGTTCATGTTCCACCAGACCAGAGGCGACACCCAGCAGTGAGTGTGCGGTTGAGTGTGTGTGTGTGTGTCAGTGTGTGTGTCAGTGTGTGTGTGTGTCAGTGTGTGTGTGTGTCAGTGTGTGTGTGTGTGTCAGTGTGTGTGTGTGTGTCAGTGTGTGTGTGGGTGCATGCGAACGTGGATGTGTGTGGGAGGAGAGGAAGCTCATGGAGTTTAGGGTGCGGGGGAGGGAAGCCCTGCTCCACTAGAGGTGATGTTCAGCAGGGAGAGTGGGAGTTCTGGCGTCAGTCTGTCATTGCTCGCAGCAGTCATTGCTCCTCTAAGGCGCCTCAAGTCTCTCCGCTCGCTCTTCCCCTCCTGCATCTTTGCTCCTCGCCCCCCCCTCCCTCTCCCCCCCTCCCCTCCTCTCTCGTTGCAACCTCGCAGGACAACAGCGTCGAGTTCTGGCGTCAGTTTGTCGCCCAGAGCTGCGCCCCTTTCAGGTGTTGAAATGCCCTCCTCCATGTGTCTTGCACCTCTCTCTCCCCTTGCTCCCACCCTTCTCTCCCGCAGGACAACAACGTGGAGTTCTGGCGGCAGTTCGTGGCGCAGTACTTCGCCCCGGACGCCAGGAAGCGGTGGTGCGTCGCATCCTACGGCAGAAGCGGCCGCCAGCCGGCAGGGGTGTTCCCGCAGGACATCTGGCCTTGCGACCTCTGCGGCGCCACCCCGGGCAGGGGCTTTGGTGAGTGACGCACGGGCGCATTGGGTGTTCCATGCAGGCAGGAGGTGGTCCAAGGTGCGTGCCAAGGTCGCCAGCCAGCAGGGGTGTACCCTCACCTCCGCACATCTGGCCCTGCCACCACTGTGGCGCCAGCCCTGCCAGGGGCTTTGGTACGTCATATGGTTTTGCTGCATGTAGGCCAGCGGACGGTAGTGTTGTCGCCAGTGAAGCCAGTCACGGCCGCCAGCCCGCAGGGGTGCTCGGTGAGTAAGAAGCATGCACGCGAGGGGCCTGCGGCCTGTGGGGCCTCGCCTGGCCGGGGCTTTGGTGAGTGAGAAGCATGCACGCGATGCGAGGGTGGGTGTGTGTGACCAAGGCCATCCCCGTGTGTGTGAGAATCACACATGCCTGTTTTGTCTTCGTATGCTCTCTGCTTGCCAACCATCCCCCATACAAACCGTCCCAAACCGTCCCAAACCGTCCCAAACCCTCCCAAATCCTCCCAAACCGTCCCAGACCGTCCACTGTCTGACCTCTCCTCCCCACCCTCCTATTGCCGTCCACCCCCCTTGCAGAGATGACCATGGAGGTGCTCCCCCGTCTGTTCAAGATCAAGTACGACAGCGGGGTGCTGGAGGAGGTGCTCTACGCAGACCTGCCAGCGGAGTACATGCTGCCAGGCGGCGCTGTGGTGTTGGAGTACGACCACGCCATCCAGGAGAGCCTGTTCGAGCAGCTCAGGGTGGTGCGCAAGGGCAAGCTCAAGATTGTCTTCAACTCGGACCTCAAGGTATGCGCATGAGACCAGCGCATGCGTGTGCGTGTTCTCTCAGTGCATGGCGTGGTGTGGGAGGCGGCGCCGTGGTGTTGGAGTTCGACCACGCCATCCAGGAGAGCCTCTTCGAGCTGGTCAGAGTGGTGCGCAAAGGCAAGTTGAAGATTGTGGTCAACTCGGATTTAAGGTACCAGCAGTGTGTGTGTATGTCCTCCTGGGATCTCCTTAAAGCCCCCCCCCCCAAAAAAAAAAAAAGTGTGTGTGTGTGTGTATATGTGTGTCCACCATTGTTTACTTCCATTGTTTCCACCTCCCCTTGCAAACTCCCCTTGCGAACTCCCCCCCTCTGGAAGTTCCTCGTCCTTCCTTGCGCTCTCCTCCGTTCTCTCACCATTTCCGTCGCACCCATCAACCCTTCTGCCCTTGCCTCCATCGGATTGTCAACTTGCCCACTCGCACCCATGTACTCTTTCCTCTCGCCTTACCTGTCTCCCCCCCCCCCCCACGTTAGATCACCCTGTGGGAGTTCTGCACTCAGAACCACGAGGAGCTGGTGCCCCGGCGCCTGGTGCTGCAGCAGGTGGGTGATCCCCCATACAGGTCCCACATACGGGTCTCAGCAGGTGCGTGATCCTGTCCCCTCTGCAGCAGGTGGGTGATCCTGTCCCCTCTGCAGCAGGTGCGTGATCCTGTCCCCTCTGCAGCAGGTGGGTGATCCTGATCCCTCTGCTCTGCCTTGCAATTAGAACGCCTGACAAGGCAACGCCACGGGCTTGTGACAGATTGTATGTCGTCACAAGTGTTGAATCTTGAGGTGGCAGACATACGATCTGCATTGCATTGCATGACTTGCTGCTTGCGCATAAGTATGACATTAGTAGTATCACAAGTATGCTTAGGACTGTCAAGTTCCTCCCATGAATGCAGGATCGCTGCGTACCCTAAACCTTAAACCCTGAATCCCCCCCCCCTTCCCCCCCACATCCCCGCGAGGTCAACCCTTGCCTGGTCTCACATATGCTCGTTCCTCCCTCCTCTCCCTCCTCTCCCCGTCTCCCCCCCTCTCCCCCTCCCCCTCCTCCTCTCCCCACCCCTCCTCCTCTCCCCCCCCCTCCTCATCTCCCGCCCCCCTCCTCATCTCGCCCCCCCTCCTCCTCTCCCCATCGCACCCCATTCCTCCTCTCCCCATCGCACCCCATTCCTCCTCTCCCCATCGCACCTCATTCTGTCCATCCATCCATGCATCCCCTCCCCCCCTGTCTGCATGCCCGCAGGTGAGTCGCCTGGCAGATCTCGCCTTCAAGTTCCAGAACCAGCTGCCAGGGACGCTCACACCCAACCAGCTCCACTCCCACTGCGCCACGTAAGCATCTTCTCCCCCTGTCCTCTCCCCCTGTCCTCTCCCCCTGTCCTCTCCCCCTGTCCTCTCCTCCTGCCCTCTCCCCCTCTATGGTGGCATGAACGCGTTTCCGCGTTTTTGCGTTTCGTTCTGAAGGCTTGCGTTCAGGACGCAAAACACAGGATTCCAGGCTTCAAATACGCTAGGAAAACGCATGCCCGGGCAGGCCAAAAAAAAATCCCGGGCAGGGGAAAGAGGGGAGAGGGGGGGAGGTGGGGAATGGCGGAGGGGGGGACAACCGGCTCGGCTTCAGCACGACTAGAGGCTATGGTGCTCTAAACGTGTTTCGCGTATGAAACGCTAAGCGGAAATTGCGTGAGCTGGTGCGGGCTGTTTTAGGTCTTGTCGCAAAACGGGAAGGGAGGTGAGGGGGGGAGAGTGGGGAATTTGTGAGGAAAGATAGGATTTTGTAGACGGGGGGGGGGTTTCGGTGAAAGGGAGGGAGCTGGATGGTTTTGGGATTCGCGACATGGCGGATGTCTCCATGCATGCAGCAATCTCGCTGATTTTCTTCCCTGCAATTTTTTCGCCAGGCTAAAGCCACGGGGGTCAAAATTCGACCCCGCAGAAAACGCGACTCTGAGAGTCGCGTTTCCAGAAACCCTAGCCCAGCCACGAAGTTTTCGATTTTTTTGTTCCTGGCAGCCAGAAACAATTTCGAGGTGCGTTCGAGCGTTTTGACTCGTTTTTGCATTATGCGTTTAAACAAGTGCGTTTAAACGCAAAACCCCAAACTAGCAATAGCGTTTTTGTCAACACAGCTCCCCCTGTCCTCTCCCCCTGTCCTCTCCCCCTGTCCTCTCTGCCTGTCCTCTCCCCATGTCCTCTCCCCCTGTCCTCTCCCCCCGTCCTCTCCCCCATCTCTCCCCCTGTCCTCTCCCCCTGTCCTCTCCCCCTGTCCTCTCCCCCTGTCCTCTCCTCCTGTCCTCTCCCCCTGTCCTCTCCCCCTGTCCTCTCCCCCTGTCCTCTCCCCCTGTCCTCTCCCCCCGTCCTCTCCCCCTGTCCTCTCCCCCTGTCCTCTCCCCCTGTCCTCTCCGCCTGTTCTCTCCCCCTTTCCTCTCCCCCAGTGCTCTACCTTTCCCATGGCATGCATGGCACCCATCCTCCCCTCCCCTTTCCTCCCCCCTCCCAGACCCCCCACCAACATCCCCCCTTCCCTGTCGGTTATTCTCCGCCCTGCTGGGCACCTCTCTCTCTCTCCGTCTTCCACCCCTCTCGTTTCGGCTTCTCAGTGCTCCTCTTCTCCCACACACTCCCGCCCTCCTGCCCACCCCCTCGTTTCTTTCCCCCTTCCCCCCCTTCCCAGGTTCGCCACCGTGTGTTGGGAGCTGGCACTCCAGTCAGACGCCCCTTATTTGCTCTCAGTAACCTGTTCCTTCCCCCTTCTTCCCCCTCTCCCCCTTCCCGTCCCTCCCCCCCCCCCCCCCAGGTTCGCCACCATGTGTCGGGAGCTTGCGCTCAAGCTGCTGAGCGCTCAAACTGCTCTCCTTCGCACATTCTCCCCCTGCTCTCTATCCCCCCCCACCCCACCCCTCCCCTCCCCTCCCCCCCCCTAACAGGTTCGCCACCATGTGTCGGGAGCTTGCGCTCAAGCTGGACGCCCCTGCGGTCAACGACCTGGGCTTCACCAAGTGCTACGTGCGCTGCCTGCAGGTGCGTCCACTGTACTATCAGGTGGTATAGGGTTGCAAGAGGGCATGACACAAGGGGCCAGAGGGTGTGCAGTGCAGGTATCGTGCTAAGCTGGACGCCCCTGCAGTCAACGACCTGGGCTTCACCAAGTGCTACGTGCGCTGCCTGCAGGAGGGGGGATAGGTTTGGTGGCTATCTGGTGCCAGTGCACTGCCTGCACACTGGTAGGTCAAGCTGTTAGCAGCGAATAACCTGCAGGAGGGTGGGTTCTGCAGTTAGCAGGTTAGCAGGCTAATAACCAGCTGTTAGCTGCGTTCATCAGCGACAGTCTAGCAGGCTCATCACCTGCAGTTAATCAGTGTGACATGTTGGCTGTGCCATCACGCCTCCTTGCTCCAGTAGTCACATGCACTACAGTCAAACCCGCTGCTATCACACCCGCTGCTATCACACCTTTTATCATCTCCCCCCTACTGTCACCCCTTGGGCAGATATCAGAGGTGGTCAACAGCATGAAAGACTTAGTCAACTACAGCAGAGAGCACAACATCGGGCCCATTGGTATGCTGTTGGTCCTTCCTCTAACTCCAGCTCGCCTCTTATAGCGAGTTGTCTGCCTAAGAGTCTGTGACCATGATCACTGTGTGATAGTAATTTCGTTGTGAGTCGTGATGCCTCAAAACGACATCACTGCCCGCTTGATTAGTCACTTGGTTCCTCCAAACCAAAGTTGCGTGCTCTTTTTTTGGAGGGTTTTTTTTTAAGAATTCTCAAAAACACCTTTCAAAGCAGGAGGGGTCACCTGTTGACTTGATCACCCTCGTTCGTCTTCCCACTCCCCATTCCCACTGCATCCCCCCTTGCCCACGTGCTCCCCCATTCCCACTGCATCCCCCCTTGCCCCACGTGCTCCCCCATTCCCCCGGCTGCCCCAGCCGTACTCCAGAGGGCCTCATCTCCTTTCCTCGCTTTGCATCAAGCACGTGCCCCCCTCCCCATGCCCTCCCCGTTCCCCCCCTCCCCATCCCCTCCCCGTTCCCCCCCTCCCCATCCCCCCTTCCTCATGCCCCCCCTCCCCATCCTCCCCTTCCCATCCTCCCCTCCCCATCCCCCCCTCCCCATCGCCCCCTTCCCATGCCCCTCCCCTTCCCGTCCCCACCTCCCCATCCCACCCTCCCCATCCCCCCCTTCCCATGCGCCTTTCCCCTATGCACCTCTCCCCATGCGCCTCTCCCCATGCGCCTCTCCCCTTGCGCCTCTCCCCATGCGCCTCTCCCCACCGTGTTCCACCCTTACTTCCCTGTTGCCCCTCGTCCCCCTGATCCCCTTTCTCCATATCAACGCTCCACAGTGTCTCAACACTCGCCTGCCTCCCCATACCCCCCTCCCCATGCCCATTGCCCCCTCCCGTCCATGTTCCATCCTTACCTCCTAATTCTCCTTTGTCTCCCTGCTCCCCTCCCCTCCCCTTCCTCCCCTCCCCTTCCTCCCCTCTCCTTCCTCCCCTCCCCTTCCTCCCCTCCCCTTCCTCCCCTCCCCTTCCTCCCCTCCCCTTCCTCCCCTCCCCTTCCTCCCCTCCCCTTCCTCCCCTCCCCTTCCTCCCCTCCCCTTCCTCCCCTCCCCTGCTCCCTTTTCGCCCCTCCATTGCTTCCCTCCCCTCCTCCCCCTTCTCCCCCACTATCCCAACCCCCCTGCAGAGTCTCTCAACGCCTTTCCTCGCCTCAAGGCCACGCCCCCCTCGCCATGCGCATCCACCCACTCCATACAGCAGCAGGGGCTGCAGCAGCAGCAGCAGCAGCAGCAACAGCAGCAGCAGCAGCAGCTTCTGCGCCAGCAGGCACAGCAGCAACAGTCGCTCCAGCAGGGGCAGAAGCAGCAGGGGGGCGGGGAGCTAGGTCTGGTGACTGAACAGGTGGTGGGGCACCAGCAGCAGCAGCAGCAATCAGTGGGGCATCACTCAATGGGGCAGCAGCAATCGCTAGGCCAGCAGCAGCAGCAGCAGCAGCATTCAGCGGGGGGGCAGCAGGAGGAGGGGCGGAGCGTGCAGCAGGGCATGGGGCAGCAGAGGGAGGATGTGCGAGCTGTTACCCCCACGTCTCACCTTATGGAAGAAGGGGGTGGGTTAGGGGGGGGAGGAAGGGCAGGAGGGGCGGGAGGTGCAGGAGGGATGGGGGGTATGGGAGGGGTGCAGCTGCAGGGGATGCAGCAAGGGGGGCAGGGGCAGGGGCAGGGGCAGGAGCAAAGGCAGGGTTTGCCGCCTCTGCCTCCCTCTCAGCAGAGGAACCTGCCCCCTCGGTCGCCCCTGCAGCACCTGCAGCAGCAGCTACTGCAGCAGCAGCAACTCCAGCAGCAGCAGCAGCAGCAGCAGCAGCAGCAGCAGGAAGTGCAGAGTTCTCTATCTCCCGGCACAGCAGCAGCAGCAGGAGGGGGAGGGGGCGCACATGGTGGGATTCAAGGGGGGGGAGGGGGCAACCAGGGAGGGATACAGGGCTTTGGGGCTCAGAGCATGGGAGCAGGGCAGGGGTCAGGGGCGGCAACAGTGGCAGCAGCAGCTGCCGCTCTTAGAATGAGCAGTGCCGCCCAGATTTCCGCCCTCATGGGCTCTCTGGGGGCGGGGGGGGGCATGGGGGGAGCGGGAGGGGGAGGGGGGAGAGAAGGGACGGGGGCAGGTGGTATGGGTGTGAGGGGATTGTCTAGAGCGGATAGCACAGGCGAGAGGGAGCCAGGTGGCTTGCACACTGATAGCCATGCTGTTGCAGGGGCAGGGGGGATGGGAGGGGCAGGGGGGATGGGAGGGGCAGGGGGGATGGGAGGGGCAGGGGGGATGGGAGGGACAGGGGGGGGGGAAGCAGGAGGAGCAGCAGCAGGGGCAGTGGCAGCGGCCAGTGCAGCAGGCGCCCCTCTGGGCCCTCCCAGACTTAGACACTCTACCTCTGTCAATTCGCTCTCAGGGTCGGTGGGAGGGGCGGGTGGGGGGATGGGGGGAGGGGTGGGGGGAGGGATGGGCGGTGTGGGGGGAGGGGGGAGAGGCATGGGTGGGTTTAACCGGGCTGGGAGCATGGGGACCAGCATTGGGGGGAGTATGGGCGGGCCTGGAGGTAGAGTCCTGGGGTCAGCTGCTGCTGCTGCAGCAGCTGCGGCGGGTGGGTTTGGTGGTGCGAGAAACGCAGACTTGGAATCAGTGGGACCAGACAATCTCGCTCCTGTTGCTGCTGGTGGTACTGGCGCCGGTGCTGCAGGGGAAGGGTCTGCAGCAGCAGCAGCAGCAGCAGCAGCAGCAGCAGCAGCAGCAGCAGTAGCAGGGGGTGGTGCTGGTGATTTTGCTGGGCTGATGTCTCCGCCTGTCTCACACCAAGAAGCCTCGTGGCAGCAAGCCGTTGCTGCCAGTGCTGCCGCTGCAGCAGGTGGGAATGGGGAGGGGGGGCATGGCATAGGGATGGGCCCCGGGGGGAGGACGAATGGGGCAGGGGGGCATGGCGGGGTGATGATGAGAGCCGGGAGTTATGGGGCAGGCGGGGCAGCATCGGCTATCAGTGGAGGGGGTGGGGGCGCTGTTGCTGCTGGTATGGGTGGTGGTGGGGGAGGGGCAGGAGTGGGAGGGGTGGGAGGAGCAGGAGGAGGAGGAGGTGGGGGGGGGATGACATTGAGTAACCTGCAGAGCATGCTGCAGCAGAGCGGGGCTTTAAGTGGGGGTGCTGGGTCTATGGCTGGTGGCATGGCGAACAGAGTTGCCACCCTGATGGCTCGACAGGCTCAGATTAAAGCCCTTGCTACCCTGAGGCAGCAGCAGCAGCAGCAACAGCAACAGCAACAACAGCAGCAGCAGCAACAGCTGCTGCAGCAGCAGTCAGTGTCGCAAGGAAACCCGATGGAAAGAGCAGCAGCAGCAGCCGCAGCAGCAGCGCAGGGTGTGAGTGGCAACAGCGGCAGCGTGTGCGGTGGGGGGGGAGGAGGAGGGGGTGGTGGTGCTGGTGGTGGCGGGGGTGGTGCTGGTGGTGGCAGTGTGAATTTCGGTGGGATGGGGAATGCAGCAGCAGCAAGCAGCTCAGCAGCTCCTGCAGCAGCGGCAGGAGGGGGGGAGATGGGCGGAGCTGGGGGGATGGGGGGAGCAGCAGCATCATCGCAAGCAGCAGCGGCGGCAGCTGCAGGAAACGTGGCTGTGAGTCTGCTGCAGCAGGCAGGGAAGCTGGAAGGGTTGAGAGGAGCCGAGGCACAGAGCGCGGTGCAGCAGCTGATGCAGCAGGTGATGCTCAACCGGGCTGCTGCTCAGGCCGCTGCTGCTGCTTCTGCTGCCGGTGCTGCTGGTGGCGGCGCCACTGCTGGCGCTGCTGCTAGTATGGCAGTAGCGGCAGCAGCAGCAGGAATGTTGAGAGAAGGCGCAGCAGCAGGCGGGGTAGTAGGAGGCATGGGCTCGCATGGAGTGACGGGCGCATGCCTAGGGGGTCTGGCAGGGGTGGGTGGGGTGGGTGGAGCAGGGGGGGGCGGGCCAGGGGGAGGTGTATCTGGGATGGGGCCTGCTGGCAGTAGGGTGGCTGCAATGGCTGCTCGGCTCAGAAGCATGGGAGTGACTAACCTGGCGGGGCTGGGAATGGGGGGAGGAGGTGGTGGTGTTGCTGCTGGTGCTGGTGGGTTGGGAGGGGGGATGATGGGAGGTGGGGATATGATGTCAGAAGGAGCGGGAGGAGCAGCAGGGGGGGGCATGGTTCGGGCTGCTGGAAACTTTGCCGGTCTGGCTTCAGCTGCAGGCCTGGCTGGACCTGGCGGTATGGGAGCAGGTCTGGGAGGGATGGGAGGGGCAGTGGGGGGTATGAGGGGAGCGGCATTGGCTGAGCGACTGGCAAGTCTAGGCGCGAATATTGCAGATCTAGGGCGATATGAGAACGTGATAGATGCAGGTGGGGTTGGGGGGCTAATGGATTCGGGCGGTTCTATACCTAATTCCGGTCTAGGGGGTGGCATGGGTGATGCTGCTGCTGGTGGGTTTAGAGGTGGTTTGGGAGGAGCCGCAGGAGGTATGGTTGGAGGGAATGTAGGCTTGGTGGGAGGCTTGGGATCGCTGGACCGGCTTGCAGCGGCAGGTTTGGTTGGCGGAGGTTCGGGGAGTCTAGGTATGGGAGCACCGGGGGCAGGTGCTTCGGCTGCTGTGGCAGCAGGGGCGTTGCAAGCAGGCATGCAGATGCAAGAGCAAGTAGGGATGGGGCATGAGGGGATGATGGGGGGTGGAGGAGGGGGAGGTGGGGGAGCAGGAGGGTTCAGTAACCTTGGTAACCTACAATTTAACTGGAACAGATGAGGTTTGTGCCGTACTGTAACATGTTGCTCGATTGGAAGGAGTCTGATGCTTGGGCTAACATGTGGAGCATCATAAGGGATCTGTCTTGGGATGGATGTATTGAATTGCTGTAATTGACCCATAGGGAAGTGGTTCTCTTCTAGCCTGTTCTTGGTTTTCCCACATGCTTCGCACTGATGGCATTGAGTATTGGCATGCAATAGTGGGTAGTAAATATTCAATTCACTTTTGCGTGTCTGTCATAGCCTACCTGAACATCCAGAAATAGTGAACTGTACTTCACGCGAGGTGGCTTGAATCGATTTCCTTATCGTATCATTCCATGACGACTATGGTCAACGAAATTCGACGACATTTGACTTGAAACCATTCTTTCGTTGACTCGATTGCGCCCTCCTCCATGTGGCTGCAGCGCCTTGGTCCTTTGCTTGACGACTGAGTCAGTGAGCGGCGCGACTTGTCAAATATATTTAGTATACCGGTATGTCTTATAGGCTAGATAGGTGCATACTCTTAGAGGGTACCAACACCTTAGACAAAACCAACCTGTTTGCATCATTCCAGTCATTCATTCTCATTCTGATATGGTATCACGCTAGGTTAGGTCCCCACTCCCCCACCCCCCCCCCCCCCCCACCCGCGCTTCCCCCTTAGGCCTAGTCCTAGCCGCCCCGTTAGCGCCCCGCTTGCCTCGTTAGCGCCACGCTGGCCCCGTTCGCACCTCGCTGGCCCCATGCGTGCCCCGCTAGCCCCGTCGCGCCCCACTAGCCCCGTGCGCCCCGCTGGCCCCATACGCGCCACCGGCCCCGTGAGCCCCGCTGGCCATGTTCGCGCCCCACTAGCCCCGTATGCCCCTCTGGCCCTGTGCGCCCCGCTGGCCCCGTTAGGGCCTCGCTAGCCCTGTCCGCCCCATCGGCCCCCAGCTAGCCGGCCCCTCCCTTGCCGGCCCCCAGCGCCACCGGCCCCTGCTCCGCCGGCCACAGCCCGCACCGGCCCCGCGCCGCAGTGTCGCCGAGCCGCCATGTAGCTGTGCCACCGTGACGCTGCGCCGCCGCGTCGCTCTGCTGCCCTCGACCAATCGGCCTTGGCTCCCTTCTGCACCGGCACATCTGCCGGCTGTCTCCACCGCTCTCCACCACTCTCCGCTGCACTCCACCGCACTCCACCGTTCTCCATCACCCTCCACTGCTCTCCACCACACTCCACCGCTCTCCACCACTCCCCACTGCTTTCCTTCGCCTTTCCTCCTCTCCCTGTCAGCGGCAGTCAACTGCTGCAACCGTGGTGATGGCGGACACACAGCTCCGCCTGGACGCGGAGGGTCGGGCGATAGACTTCGAGGCGTGGCTCGTCGACTTCCGCCGTCACCTTACAGGTCATTGCCAGGACGGTCACTCCCTGGCTGTTCATGTCGCTGGCCTGCTTCCCCACCCTGTTGCGCCTGTTCCCCTCCCTGCTGCCCCCACCACTGCTGAGTGTGAGGCCATTTCTGCTGCTATGCTTGCTCGTGCTGTCTGGGACTCGCGTGATGCCTTCGCGCAGCTTGCTATTAGTCACGCGCTTCCTCTGTCTGAGCGTCCCCGCTATACCATTGTAGCGAACGCCCACGCTTTCTTAGATGCAATCATTGCGCGCTATTCCACCCCCGCCTCCGCCTCTACTGGCCGCCTGATCCTCCCCATGCTGTTCCCTGATCTTGCATCTTTCCCCACTGTCGTCGACCTTGCCACTTATCTCCGCAAGCTCAAGACTAGCTACCGCGCTGCTAGCACTGAGGATCAGCTCACTGCCTTTCCGCTGCCGCTCTATGCTACCCTTTATCTCATTGCCACGCGCCTCCCCGAGTGCCTAGCCACAGCTCGCGACCACTTCCTTAGTCAGCACAAGGGTGATCTCACCCTCCCCGCCTTTGTCACCGCCCTGTCTACAATAGAGACTCGCCAGCACACTATCGCTCAGTCTAGTGGTACTGCACCAGTCCTTATCTTTCAGGGTTGTTCTCCCTCCCATTGCTCTAACTCTGACGTCTCTTCTTCTGTTGCTGAGACCGCCGCTATGGCCCCAGCGCAGTCACGTCCGTGTAAGGGCCGCCACCCCAAGGGGGGGGCGTGGTGGAGGGAAGGGGTGTGGGGATGGGGAGGGTGGAGGAGGTGGGGGTGGGGACGGTGGTTCGGACGAGGGGACTGGGGCTGGTGCCCCGGAGTAGCAGCAGCAGTAGACGCAGCCTTAGCAGCAGAAGACGCAGCCTCAGCAGCAGCACCAGTAGCCGCAGCAGCAGTCGTCGCATCAGCAGCAGTCGCCGTGGGAACCCTCGCCGCTGTGGTGGACCGGCAGCGCTAGTGGCGGTGGTCGTGGTGGTGGCGGGCGCAGCTCGGTGCCGGGTGGCGGCTCCAGTGCGGTTACCTGCCAGTACTAGCTTCAGACCGGCCCCGCCGCGACACCGTCTGCTCCCGGTCCGGCCACACCACCGACCGCTGCTACCGTCGCCTGGACGACCTGTTCCGCCACCAATTCGGTCCCATGTTGGACCCTCCTAAATGGTACGCCCTGGCTCGCCACCGTGTGCCTGTCTTTGAGCTTGACATGGATCTAATTAGGACTGCTATGTCTGTCATGTATGTTGATGACTCTAGTGTGATTGGACCCTATTACCCGGTGTTGCCTAGCGTTGGTGTGTCCCCTACGTATAGTTTAGGCTCCCTTGCTGTGTTAGGCGTAGGACCCTCTACCTTGTTTAGCCTAGGCTCTACGTTCGCCCCTCCGCCGGCTGACGCTACTGCTTCACTCTCCTTTACGTTCGACTCTGGAGCGTCCGCTTGTTTCTTTCACGACCACACGGCGCTCACGTCGCTTGCTGCCCCCACCGCTGTAGCGCTTGGTGACCCCTCCTCAGGTCCGGTAGTAGCCCGTAGCTCCACTACCCTCCCTTGTCCAGCAGTCCCCTCGGGCTCTCTTACATGCCTGCACATCCCCTCGTTCTCTAGGAACCTAGTTGGTGCCGACTGTCTTCAGGACCTTGGTGTCACCACTACGTTCCCCAGACACAAGAGGTACGCGGTTTGTACCGAGGCCGCCACTGGTGCCCCTCTGACCACCTTCCCCCAGGACCTTGTGTTTGGCCTGTTTACGCTTGACAGTGCGTCCCCCCCAGTAAGGGCGTCCCCTAAGGTGCCTGCGGCGACCCAGGTCGCCGCGGCTTGCTCGTGTTGGTCGCTCACTCATCCGTCGCTGCTGTGGCACCACCGCCTAGGTCACCCCGCATTCCGGCGTCTGCGTCACTTGTCCCATCACGGTCTTGTCTTTGGTCTCCCTGAGTCACTCCCTGCCCTTCCCCCCTCACCTGCGACGCCGTGTACACCTCGCGTCGAGGGCCGGTTGCATTGTGCTCCTCACTCCTCCTCGTTTCCCCCTATCACCGCGCCACTCCAGACCCTACACTTAGACGTTTGGGGCCAGGCCCCAGTCCCTGTGCCGCGTTGAGAGCGCTACTTCCAGTGCTTGTCGACGACTACACGCGCTATACGACGGTGTTTCCCTTGGAGTGGAAGGCCGACGTGCCTGACGATCTTATCACGTGGGTTGTAGCTGCGCCCATCCACCGCGGCCTCCCATTGCTTTGTCTCCACTCCGACCATGGCGGCGAGTTTGCCTCTGATCAGCTTGGCCGTTTCTGTCGTGCAAAGGGCATCACCCAGTCGTACACCCCGTTGGACTCCTCGCAGCAGAATGGGGTCGCTGAGCGACGCATCTGTTTGGTCATGAAGGTTGCTCCTACCTCCATGATCCATGCCGGTGCACCCCATTTTCTGTGGCCGTTCGCTGTTCGCTACGCCGCTCACCAACGTAACCTGTGCCCACACTCTCAGCGGCCGCAGGTTTCGTCGACCCTTCTTTGGACTGGGTTCCCTGGTGACGCGTCTGCGTTCCACGTCCGGGGCTGCCTTCCTCACGTTCGTGCCTCTGGCACGGACAAGCTCACTGCCTGCACAGTCCCTTGTGTCTTCGTTGGTTTCCCCCTTGACAAGTCTGACTGGCACTTCTACCACCCGCCTTCTCACCACTTCTTTCACTCGCGTGATGTCACATTTGACGAGTCTGTCTCCTTCTACCACCACTTTCCTCACTGAGGTCTCCTAATTTTCTCGCCCCTGTTTCCGATTCCCATTCCACCGTTAGCCCCTGCTCCTCTCCCTCCCTGTCTTGCCCCTTCTGGTGTGTCGCACGTCACTCCCCTCCCGTCACTTGTCCCGGTTGAGGAGTCGACATACTCCGGGGATGCCGTGGCTTCAGAATTGTCGCCTGTCTCCGCCCCGGTGTCCCCTCCTCTGTCGCCGTTGCCGCTGCAGTAGCCGCAGGCGTTGCCACCGTCGCAGCCGCAGCAGCCACCGGGGTTCGCGACGTCTGGTGGAGGGGACGTTAGGGAGGGTGCTAGTCCTAGGGTTACTGTCGTGGCTTTTCCTGGTGGTCTCAGGGGTGGCACCAGTGCTGGAGAGGTTTCTCGTTCTGGGGTTGCTGGCCCTGGGGGTGCTAGTCTTGGGGTTACTATCGTGGCTTGTCTCGGCGGTCTCAGGGGTGGCACCGGTGCTGGAGAGGGTTCTCGTTCTGGAAGTGTTGGCGTGGAGTGTCCTGGAGGTAGCCATGGTGCAGCTCGAGGTTCTGGTATCGGCGTGGAGCAGCAACACTTGCAGCCGCAGACGCCGCCGGTGTCCGCCCTTCTCCTCCTCGGCCTTCCCTCCCCTGACCACCCGCCTACGCCTCCCCCGCCGCTGCCTCCCCTGCGTGTCCACGTCCTATCTTTCCTCCGCCGGATTTGTCTCCGGCTCGTCTCCCTCCTCGTTCTCCTCCTGTGTCTCTTCCCCTGTGTCGTGACCCGACACCTCCGTCTCACGTCTTGTCTCGCCGTCCCTCCCGTGCTCGTCCTGTCTCCCCTGTTCAGCGCTCCCACCCTATGTTGCTTCGTTCCCATGCATCTCGTCCTCCCCTCCTCTCGTCGCCTCCTCCATCCTTGCTTGCTGTCGCTCCGCCTCCTCTGTCTGACTACCTTTGAGTCGCTAGTCATCTTGTTCCTCGGGTCCTTGCCTCTCTCGTTACCGACCCGTCTGTTCCTGTCTCGAGTCATAACGCGGTGGTCCCTGCCGTCGCTGACTTCGCCTCTACCCGCCGCCTTGACTACGCCACCGCTCTGGTCTCTGACCCTGCGCGTCCTCCGTCCATCACGGGTGCTCCTGCCCTTGGGAATTACGTCATGGAGGACCGGCAGTATGAGCTTGCTTTCCTC